AGAAAGTCACGACTCAATAAGGTTAGCGCGGAAGAGAAATTATATGGTGACCTTCTGAGATAAATACTTTTTCATTAAAAAAATTGATTATAGAAAACATGAAATCTTTAGTTTCCTCTCAAGTATCGAAATTACTGGCATAAAAAAACAAGTTCAAACTATTCTTATTCCATCAATATATGTAGAATTCTGTGATAAATCATATTGGATAAAAAAAAAATAATAAAAAAATATTTCTCTTGAAGAGCTTGGGTTCAAAAGTGAATAAAAATATTTCTTTTGAAAAACAAAACGAATGAAACAGACAAAAATAAGAATATATAGAATGAAGAAAACAAATTCCAGTCTTCTATTCTTCTGCCTAACGTATCTTTGGATGATATAATCAACATTCAGACTGCTGCAGATGCCCCTGTGAATATGCATCAATGCCAATCCATTTAACCTGTCTTGGACCATTCTGGATCTTATCCAATCTTTCAGCCTTCTGAGTGTTAAAAAACTTCTTTCAAAAGATGCAACACTTACGGGCAGGCAACATAATGGTTCCAGAAGAATGTTTATGTTAGGAAACAAATGTTTGTTACATCCCTTCAGGGCAGTTATACCATTGTTTGGTATATTTTGCTTAGTATCCCACATTTTCTTCCATATATAAATTTCAGAAACGATCTTCTGAAAGGATATTTCATCATTCTCCTCAAAAATGGTGGAAAACTGTTGAAGTATATCTCTCAAACCTCATATATTCCCTCATCTGTTTTATTTTTAGTTATTGATGGCACACAAAGGTGAAGGTTGTATGGATTCAATTTATTTTCTGATAGTCTATCATTCAGATGAAGGATAATACTGGGATGAAATAGTTATTCTGTAATGGTCATCCACTGAGGAAACCGTAGGATTCGGTCTATGAACCAGTCTCCCTGTTATTCTCGGCATCGAAAATTCAACATTCAGTTCTTTCAATTCCTGTTTGGCTCCATTCAAAATACTTAGATAGTATTTAGAATATCATCCCTTTAATTTTGATGCGTCATCAGAAGAGTGATACTAACTCATTAGCTTGTTTTTTGTTTTCAGCTGTTTGGAGCAAATTACTGAGTGGCAGTGTTATCGAAAACATATTTGCCAAACAGCAATTTGCAATGGGGGAGACCACTGATTTTTTGAAACGACATTATCGTGAACTCTATACTGAAAAACTACCAGTGAATTAATTTTGATTTTTTTCATTCATGCTAAGACGATGAAAAAAATAAATTAGAATATGTCCATTTCTAAACACACCATTCCTGCGCCATTTGAAATTTTGTCAATTCATTGGTGAGACTGGTGCGACGTCTTAGTCCCAACACGCCTATTGTCCTTGAACTCACCAATCACACTGCAACACTGCAGAATGACGAGGTATCAGAGAGAGATAGCTACAGTGCGGGACTAATACGTCACAGCTCCACCATCATATTTGGCTTTTCGAAATAACGAATGAAATATGCTGATTTCAAAACGATATAGATTCGATTCCCTCCAACTTCAACTCATGATATTGATTGTAGATCAAACGTAAATCATGATTCGTCGATTGAAAGAGGTTTGCACGGATTTCTTCCCTCAGTGGTCTTCCCCATTCCTCAGAGCTGTTGCGAAGTTTCTAGCTATAAAAACATATACACTAATTTTTTCATTCATTTAAAATACCTACATTTTTACATATCCATGAGGTTCCTGAGGGGGGGGCCATGGCCCCATGGCCCCCCCCTTGAATCCGCCCCTGATTTCAGAACAATCAAAACACGAGAGAACACAGAGTTGGCCGTGACGACATACACCGTGACCAATCTAAGGTCAACGAATCTATTAGACAAGCCATCACTCTCAGAATATTTGGAGTATTGAAATGGAAGATACCAAGAGGTCTCAGAATTGTGAGCTCATTTCTCAATATGAATGAAGGAATGGGCGTGTACACCTTAGAAGAACTTTTAAATCAAACCATGTTCATAATGATCATTTTATACATAAATAATGATTGACGACTTGATTCGATCGAAAACTGGAATGTTTTATTTTTAGACATAAATTATAGTAACTTCTGGAAACGGACCCTCTCATGACGTAGAAACCTCATCTCGCCATATTTGAAAGAAAATACCAAACGCCCGACGGAGACTGAGGCAACTGATATATTAATTATTTCAACTGTGATCTCACGCTAATTCACTCTGTCAGAAATCATGTATCATTCATCTCTGTCTGGAATAGTCTTGTTTTAGTATCAGGGTTTTGACGTCACATCATCGCCTCGTTTTCAGAGGTCCGAAAAATCGGGGATTTCAATAATTTTTTATGAAACGTAGGGAGTTCACAGCAAGAAACGGTTTGCGGTGGTGAGCTAGTTTGGGTGAGTTCTATCGGATTATGAAATAAATTTTCTTGTGATATAAGCCCATTGAAGATATTATTTTCAACAGCAGCAGCTTCTTGTCTGTACTTGGAAAAAATCACCCATGATCATCTCGCATCTCTTGTTGATGGTGTATCCATCAATTTTATCAAGATCATTTTCATCTTCTAAAGTTTCATTTGATATGCTCTGTTGTAAAATTGTTATTATAGAAAGCGCATCATTGTGAGTCTTGAATCAAGACATCGATTGATAGGCTCACCTATTTCTATATGAGCTTTTATAGTTCATATGCAGATGTCTCCTTCTCCACTCACTTGTATGATATTATTTGTCTAGTAAGTCTTAGTTTAGTTATTATCTGAATTGTTATTCGAGAATAGCTGTTTATTTTTCCATCCTATTCACGGTAGCCCATGTCATCATTTGACATTGCGATGATATGAAAACTACTGAAAACCATTCCTGACTCTTGGCTCAGATTGAAAGTAAGACATGCTGTCTGTGGTTTTCATGATGTCATCGCATCGTCAGACTACCACGAATAGTTGCTCTGGCTGTTGGATGGTGTATAAATCGAATGAATATCATAACAACCAAAATCACCCACAATCCATCGGGATCTTGACCACAGATAATTAATTGAAATTTCTCATCTGGACCTTGGGTTGATATCATCAAGCAACTTTTCAGTGGCAAGTGACAATTGATTCCTCTGATTTTTCAGAAAAAAACTCTATACAATACCAGTCAGACGAACTAGACGAGCCCAGTCAGCACATCCTTTCGTTGTCAACCTCGAAAGATGTCGAACAGCACTTCATCAAAACTCCTTCATCCATATATAGAACGGCTAGGCTCTGGAGATAATTGCCTGAGGAAGTATTCCCAACAACATATAATCTCCAGTAGTTCAAAAAAATAAATTCCAATACCTACCTCCTGTCCCTATTTTCTTTCGTGCGTTCCAAGCGATAAAAAAATAAGTAATATATTTCTGATTGATGTTGTGTTGTTTTCCGACGCGTAGCGGGAGACAAAACACCTCAAGCTAAAATCTAATATTTTTCCTGTGTATAATACACTTAATTTTTCTTGTGACAGGAAACAAAACGAATCAATATTGAAAAGAAAATCAGAAAATTATCGACGTGAAATCAGGCATGAAGGCATCTTTTTGCAGGCATCTGCAAGTAATCAAATATCTATCAATTTGATTCTGTGATTTGATTAACAAAAATTGCGAAATCAGTAGTTGTTTAGTGATTTACGTAACCGCATAGTGGAACGGAAGATAAAAGAGCTGGCAATAATTCTTTCTCGATTTATTTTTCGTAATTAGCACAACAGACGCCATCAACAGTGTATATATACAAGGTGGGTCAAAAATTGTGTACTCAGCTTTCTGGATGTGATCGTGCATTGAATAATGAATATATTTTCATGAATGAACTGATGACCCAAAATGTTTATTGAGGAAGATATAGAATACCTCCCAAGTTGGTTGAATTGAAATGAATTTCCCGCATAACTTCTGGACGGTGGAAGCCACCAATTTCCAATTTTCTGCATGAATATGTGTTGATAAACTACAGTTCTTTCAATACACTTTCACACCAAAAACCGAACGGAAAACAACAGAACAATAACAATGTTGATGTCATAAATATCGAAATTGGGAATAAAACTGGTCATGACTACTAAAATATTGTCACCGATAAATTAATCTGCTGATATAAAGTGACTACAAAAAATCGAGCAAAAAATCAAATATCACGAAAACAGTGGAATCCTTCGTAATGATAAGAGTGCCTTTATTATTCAATTTCCTTCGCTTTATCTAATGCTTCTGTCGAGGCTTCTGTTTTTCACCAAGAATTATGCAGGAAAAAAAGTTGTCTTCAAAGAATTCATGAGCCACCCTCTGAAAACACCCTTGCAATTTCAATTTGGTGGCTTTCACCGTTTGGATGCTATTGAGGAAAACTATTTCAGTCCACTCAACTCAGGAAGGATATATCTCTATCAATACACATTGTGGGACTTTACTTCAGTTCTCAAACTGAACTCATTTTTCAATATTCTATCACCTCCAGAAGACTTGATACACTTTTTTGACTCACCCTGTACATCCATTTCGAAACCTGTCAACAGAGATGAAATGTTAATTATTTCTGATTTTTCGGGATTTTCTCTCCTCCTTTCTATGAAATAAAAATATGAATATTATTTCAATATACGTGTAGTAAGCACAAATCAGATGATTTGCTTCTCAGTGACAATTGGTGACGTTGGCAATGAAATGAGTTTCAGGATGTTTCTATTAATGAATCTTGAATTTACCATTTTTATTTTCAGATTTCAGTAGTGAATACCATGTTCTATCTATGTCAACTGAACAAGAAGCAAAGCTATTGTCTTCGCTCAGAAGAATGCAAGCAGATTCCTTCATATATTTCTCTTCTGGTTGTTATCTTTTTTTATAAGTACAATATGCAGAGAAGACACATCGACAAATCGGAACTAGCTGAACATATCCTCACTTAAGACGAACTACATATGGCAAAGTGTTTTCTCAAACTTTTTTTCTCACCTCCAAAGAAAACCACAACGAAAAAAACCACCCCAACGATCAGTCCCGAGGTCATCGTCCACATCACATCACTCAACCCCCGAGACCGAAATCACCGTCCTCGAATCGAGATATCAACGTCGGGACGCCGGTGGAGCGTCGACTGTTTCGCCGCAGGCGTCGCGCTGCCTATCGTGCGTCCCCTGCTCCGGAAGACAAATGAAGGAGCGACCCTCGGGAGCACTACAGTCTAGCCATAGCATCGTTGCGAGGTAATATTGCGCCAGGCTGGCTGCTTGCTGGGCGCCAGAATCAGGAAATTTCTGGCCAAAAAAATAGTGCGACAATAGGTATCTCTTATGAAATGTGAAGAATATACTATTGTTTCTATTCCGTATCCATTTGTGCTGTTTTATTCGAAGGAATTCATCAATAAAAACATCAATTTTAGAAAGATATGGAGTAACTATGATTGTTAACGATGAAAAATAAATTGAATGTTCATTCCCAGATTCGAAAGATGATAAAAAATATATTCAGATCAACATCATCATTCTAGCGATATGATTCAAAATATCTCGAAAATGACTGAAGAAGCAATCTCTCCACCTTTCCTGAATTTGTCGTTTCCAACCAGGGAGCATTTCATCGCTGGCAGAAAAATCTGTCAATGAAACAATTTCATCAACAAAGGATGCTCATGGTGCCAATATAAGATCAAAACTTGTTGAATGTCCTAACGCATCCACCTCATTTTGGTCCTCCGCCAAGGCTGTAGGAAGAAACTTCACTTCCAGCTCGTTTCCTCCTCTGACCAAGGAAGATGGAACACTAGCCACAACTGCCCAGGAGAAAGCAAACATTTTTGCGCATTTATTTGCTGGAAATTCCAATCTGGATTCATCAGGAAAACAACCTCCAAACATAACGTCAATTGACAGTCATATGCCCGAGATCACTTTTCGCCAACGTACTATGAGGAAGATTTCATTGAGTCGCAACACCAACAAAGATTGTGGCTCCGACGGAATCCCACCGATTGTTGTCAAGGAATGTGCTCCCGAGCTAACACCTGTTCTCTGTAAGTTGTTCAACTACTCTTACAAATTGGGGATATTCCCGTCAAACTGGAAAATTGCAAGAGTACAACTAGTTCCTGAAAAAGGCTTTGTAACACATTGCAAAGGGAGGTGCTCCCCGAGGCATATAACTTCCAGAAATTTGAGAAGAACACTAATTCCTACCTTATTTCCCTTGGTTCCCTTCTTGTGGGAAGCATAACATGAAAAAAAAAGAAGATTGGCCAAACGGCTATGAGTGATTTTTTGCCCTGGAAACCTCGTCCAGCTTATGGAAAAGAATTCCATAATTCCATAGTATAGTGTCAAACTGGCAACCTATACTACCACAATTTAAACGCTTCTTTCTGATCTATATACCGCAATGGTTAGGTACTCCATAAATAAAGTCAACACGATTGCACGATTGCAAAAATGCCTAGAACCTTCCCAGAATATCTCAAATCACCAAATCCAGAGAATTATACAAGATATTATTTTCGCCATTCTAGTGTGTCCCGTCAAGCATATACAGGCTGTGGAATCCTCAGCAGTAGCTGAAACCTACATATTATAAGATTCTGTGGAGAGAAAAATTGAGGTATGTAGCTCAAATATATTTTCTTCTCAGCCTCCAACTTCTACAGCACATTCTGATGTTTCTACCCCACAGTCGCATTGCAGAAACAATAATAATCGAACTGATGAGCATGTTTTGTATCAACAGCAGCCCAACAAAACTTGCCAGCAAACTTGATAGAAAATAAATGCTCAAGATACTTGTAATGTTACAGTTATTTGTTACGTGTTCTATCTCCACTAGTTTGTCTGACATATTGACGTTGACGTTACCTTCATCAACTTTGAAAGAAGAAATTCAGCGTGTCCTGATAGAAGCTGTTTTGAGTGTCATAATGACTAATGATCATTGAAATAGCGAATCACTATCGGCCTCACCAGTTAATGCATCCACAGTATTCTTTTCGATTGAACACTTCGAAACAAAACCAATATGCTGGATTAGAGCTTTTGGCAAATCGAACTTGAATTTATCATGCTCTTCACTAGCCGCCGTAGCAATATTTCCCGTATAGTGGTGCTATGGCTAGGCTCTAAACTCTGGAACCTCGCGAGCGATAGACATGCGCGGGCAGCCAATAGATGTGTAGGGAAGGGGGTTGAAAATACCAAGAAATCGGTCTTCAAACATTATATTCTCAGATATCACTCAGAGGAAGGTAAATCATCATTGCTTGACAACGAGTCAATATGTACAGGGTGATTGGTTATATTTTACTCAATATCTATCTCAGTTAATATTGGTCTTATAGAAACGTTTGAATAGGCGAAAGTGGAGTATTTTCCATGGGCATTCAGAATATAGCACCAAAATATGCAAAAAAACATTTAGACCGGAAGCTAGGAGTGAAATGTAGCGCCTCATAAGTTACCACAAAAGTGAAATTGCAGGTGTGATATCCATTCTGCATTGACATGGGAATCGTGCCGCTGTTGACCACTCTTGGGGTCGCTTCAAAATGCTACGAATTCCGAAAAAGTGCCAAAATCGACCTACAAGCGCCTCGTCATTACCAGAATAAAAATACCGCCAAACTGATTGGTATTTTGTAGTGAATCTACAACCTAAGCGTGTGCTTATACCGGGTGACACAGGATACATTGAAATTCACAAGGGGTATATAATACATTGTAGCGCACTCCACGAACCTAACGACAATTTTTTTCAACTACCTGTTTGACCGGAAGTGACCATAACTTTTGGTTTTGAAATGTCACCCTGTACATTTCTTCAGTCTATCTTATTCGCCTTGAAATTATCTATCCAACCATGTATCACAAAGTGGCATTTATTCCTTAATTCACTGTTGAATTGCTTTTTATTCAAAAAGAAAAAGTTGGCTGTGCCATGAATTCGATGATATATCGACACTTGGTAGGCTTTGAAATTCAAATATCATTAGTGAACCGATATTATTCAAAATGTTTTGATATTCTGATCAATGTCTGCAGGTTGTCAATAGTTTGTTTGAGTCGAGATGGAAAACTTCGAAAATAACCCATGATATTGAGGAATCTAAGATAGGAACATATTTTTTCGAATTCAGCTACTCGTACAGAAATTATCTGTCTTTTATTATACATATCGACTTTTTCGTTTCTTGAATACATTTTCCGTCTCTATTGATAATATACCATTTTAATCAACACACGAATAAAGAAGAAAAATTATTGATGCAATCGATTAACTGTCAAACACATTGAACTTTTTTTGTAGGTACACCGCCTACTAAGTGAAATAATTATGAAAAAATAGACTGATAGCCCTGTGGATCATCGTATAAGAGGAACAATTATTTCACTTTTATCATTCCAAATGGAAAGATCATGTGATAGGTACATGGCGAAAATAAAAGACAGCATATCAATAAAAATAATAGCGATTATTTATTTCCCTCCATACTGCACTGTTTGACTCGATAATCAAATGGAGGTTAACAATGTCGTTGTTTGAGACAGAAAACTATTGATGACCGTGATCATTCAAGAACAAGTTATCATTCAAGAACAAGTTATCCATCCCGAGATCAACGAATGAAATACCAACCCAAATACCCAACCGTAACAATGTTGTTTATTCTAGATGACCTCTACTACATCCTTTTTAGTTCCTAGGAGCTGAAGTTCAACTTTAGCTCCTAGGAACTGAATGCTTTGCCTATTGCAACATACATCTTTTGTGTTAGTAATAAAAATGACAATTTAAGAATTGATTTTGATATAAAAATTGCAGACTTTTGTGTCGATTGCAGAACAAACTAATTTTGAGTTTCTTTTTTCCCTCCACTACATCTCCTACGTCTACTTTACTTCCACTCCCACTGATAGTTGATAGCTACTCTTTTCTCATGATAACTCAATATTTTTAGCGAATATCCAAAATTCGTTTAGTGATCGGATAGAAAATGTAATTTCTTTTACAGCTTTGACCACCGACCTTCCTCCATATTCCACATATTCCTTAGTCCCTCGTATTTATGAAAACCACCGAAGTGTACTCTTAACAGCACAATTTGTCAAAAATAATCGCCAGCATAGAGAAGAATGAGATACAGCGAAGGGTTTCGGATAAGCGTTTGATATTTCCGAGTTCTATATTTTCGGTTTTCATAGCCCTCTATTCGGTACATGAGGGTTTTCTGAAACAACAGTCTCCAGAGAATGGTGGAAGACGTGGATCGAATTCTTTGTCGTGAAACGTCTCTCATATTGATGAGAATACCCCTAAAAAAAGTGTATGATATTTTTAGGTTCATTATTCTATTGGTGATAAATTCCCAACATCCTGTCGCAGCGAAATTTTCACATAGAAATTTTTTCTCCGCAGTATGACTCATCCTGAACATTTCAGATGAAGCTGAAAGTTTTTTGGGATTATTGTCTCCAACATCAAGCAGAGCATCAATCAAATAATAACATCTCTCGAACGGAATCTGTTCAAATAAGTGAATCGATCCATTCAACCACAGATGATTTTTTGTCCTCCATATTGTTTCTTGTTTCGCCGTTCATCACTGATTCTCACTATTATAGGCAACAGTTTTGATGATACAATCATTTTTTTATGATCAAATATTGATTTCCATCTGTGAGAACTTCATTTCAGATAGAATTTTCACTTGCAATAGCAAGGCGAGAGATTATTTTCGAAATATTCATGAGCGAGAAAAAATTCCCGGAAAGTTATTTGACCTCGTGTGGTATTAGGTGAGAAGAGATTCACACCAGATTGTGTTTGGAAATTAAATAATTTCAGGATTCATTCGTTCATTCCATTTTCATACAGGTTCATGAATAAATTTAGTTTGAGCACCAATAATAGATTCTTGACTTAAACCTATTACATTTGCATGAAAATACTTGTTTGAATGTAACATATTATATTCTTCCATTTTATTCATATTAACTTAACAAAATCACTATTTCAGGACGTCAAAATATTATTCTGTAATTAAAACGTCATGAGAAAATTCCGATTTCATACGCTTGTGGAAAAAAACGGAAAAAAATTTCCACAGAAATGCATATGTTGCTATGGTAATTCGTCATAAAAACCCGATTTATCT